CTACACTGCCCTCTCTGTGGCAACGGAACTGCCTTAGCCACAGGGAGAACTCAAGCAGTAAAGGGCAAGTGCTCTGAAATTAGTTACATCAGGCTATGCAAGACAGTTTCCCTTTCCTGCAAAGGTAATACATGTGGCTGCTAATAAAGATAACTTTTTTCAGATACAGTATATCCCACCCACACATAGTATCCTCGTATTGTGGAACTACTTGCAGCCAAACTGGTCAGCATACACACTGAAAAAGACAGTAACTTCCAAAACAGTTACCCTTTCGAAAGAAACTAGAGATATTCTATTCAAACAGAGGTCAGGGAACAGTCCCTGTCTAGTATAAAACAGGCCTGAAGCATGCAGCTCCTGTGATCTTTGTTTAAACATAGTAATGTTTTAAAACTGGCATGAAAACAGTGCTTTCCTCTAACTCCCAAGTATCACCCTTGTTCTTTCTTATACAGAGATGTTCATCTACCGCTGGTGGCGAGTGGAGAATCTACCACTTGAATGGTTTCCTAAACAGAAAGAACATCAGTAGATTTGGCACAACAGGACAGTAGCATCCAACTCATGAGAATAAGGTACACCTATGTGAATAAAAATGTCAAAGCATGCTGTGATACTCTTCTTTTAGGTTAAGATGTAATGTATATATTTAAAAAACAATAAGCAGAAGGAATCAGGACAGGGGAGTGCTTTGAGTTAACTGCAATGTCTTATGTGGAAGTGCCGTTTTCCTTCTCCTCCAACCTATATGTCTCCCAAAAATTAATGTTGGAGAACTGCCCAGCAATCTACAGCAAGTTTTGAGGAAAGAGGTGGCTGCAGTGCGGATGGGAACTGAAATCACCTCCACCTGATTTCACCAAAACCCACAATTCCACCAGCACTGGATACAAAGCTCTGTTTCTGTTTATTTGCTTTTTAAAAATATATTCAACTATGCTCCCTGACATTTTATTTTAGCATCATGGCTATAAGCAGCTATTAACACATGAACAGTATTCTACAAAGAGGGGCTTGAAGACATGCTAAGATCTGGATGAACTGAATTTATTGGTGCCTACTGTCTCTTGGCTGGCAACATCCTAGTTTACTTTATTAGTCTCATGTAACTGAACAATGGTTTCTTTGTCTTACGCTAGCAACACTTTAAGCATGAAGCACATTCCTGTGTAAGGAAGCTTGTCTTCTTGGAGACAGACAACAACATGTTCTCCCTACAAACTAGAGTTTGGAAAATTCTTTTACTGTGGGTTATTTAGGGAGAAATTCCTTGCTATAGTTCTTAATGTCAAAAATGGGGAGAGAAAAAATTCCCCAAACCATATCAACAGTTGTTTTGTTTCTACAGGTACTGTATATGAAAGTGGATTAATTTTTCTTTTAAAAAACCCCTTTCAAAACAGATGTCAACTGCCACGGTACATAAATGCTTTCTTTTAAGTGCTATTTCAGAACAATAAATATGGACTGGAGATGTACAAACTCTACATGAATTGCTATCCATTATCTGCGCTTTCATTTATAGCCATTATGTTGGAGCACACAATAGAAATGAGCAAATTTAATGATTCTGCCTTACTTGTAAAGCTATACCCTTTGAAAAACACTTTGAGCCGTCAAAACAGCTCAGGAATATACAAAGTTTTCTTATACCAGGTCCAACCATTTTTGTTTTTTTTAATTAAAAATATTAAGATATAAAAAGAAAAACAATGAAAACAGACTTTTTAATTAAAAATATTAAGATATAAAAAAAAAATAATGAAAACAGACGTGAGTTTAAATACAATTCTTGCATATCAAGAGCACCTGACATTTGTATATATGACTTACACTCTACATTTTATACTATGCATACTATTCTACGCTTTAGATTTACTTGACCTTTTGAAATATGTACTTTGCTCACAGAATCATAGAATAGTGAAGTTGGAAGGGGCCTATAAGGCCATCAAGTCCAACCCCATGTTTAATGCAGGAATACAAGTCAAAGGATATCTGCCAGGTGGTTGTCTAAGTTTCTCTTGAATGCCTCCAGTGTTGGAGCATCCAAAGTTCTATCTTATTTTTAGTCCACATTTTTACTCTTTTAACACCTGCCTTTCTATTTATAATGATTTTATAGCATTATTTCTGCGCTATTTGTTTAAATAAGCAAAATAATTTTCCCACTTTTTTTTCAAATTCGTTGATAGGTCTTCTGTTTATACAATTTGTAAGTTTAGCTAAACTTACAAATAAATTCTTTGATAGGTCTTCTGTTTATACAATTAGTAAGTTTAGCTAAACTTACAAACGATCCAACCATTACTCTATTTTGATCAGTATCATCTCAGCCTGGGGATGAAGAACCTTTGGCCTTGGAGGAGGGGAGGTCCCTAAATTGCCAAACCACATCCCATATGATACCAGTGCTTCAAGATTCATCAGCTTTTGGGGCTTCTCTTCCATTCTACGAGGCTGAAATACTTCTTGTGATGTTTTGTTATTGGTGAAAAAAGCTTCAAGCTAAAATACTCTCATGTTTTTGGTCCCACAATCATCTGCCAAGTATAGGAATGTTGCCTCCAAACAATGAATGAACTTCTCTGAAATTTAATTCATCCCTCACACAGAAACAAGTTTGTCATTCTTAACAATAATAATTATGTGCTATCAAGTCAATAATGACTTATGGCAATCTTCCCAGTTTTTTTGTTTGTTTTTTATAAAGTACCTTGAAGTGATTTAACAGTCCTTCCTTCTGGTGGTGCTTTAGCATCTCAATATTACACAGATTGAACATATTGTTTCATTTCATTTGTTTGCCTTATGATGCTTGATTTGATTTTTTATTATTATTATTGTTATTGTCTAATGTATTGTTTTGCTTTTCCTTTGTCCTTATTTGGTAACTACCCAGAACAGTGCTTGGCACTAAACAGGTGGCAAAATGTCTAAGAAATAAACAAAATAAAATAAAACAAATGACATCAACTGCAATGACTCTGGGTGCTCGCAGGTGATTCCTCTCTTGAAAGGTGACATCAGGGATTCAAACTCCCAGCTTCTTCTATTGCAGCCAGGCACTCCAACTCACTTAGCCACTGCAGGTATAACTCAGTGATGATACTGCCATACTTGGTCTAACATAACCAGCAGCAACTCCTAAGGGTTTTAGACAGAGATTTTCTTCCCAACTTGTAAAGGCTCAGTGTTGAATCCATGACAAATGTGGGCTTTCATACTGTGTTAGGGCCACTTCCCAAAGAATAAAGAGCAGTGTCTTTGGATTGTTTGCTTTCCTGGGATATCTTGATGTTTCACACATCTAACTGTGTACAGTGGTGCCTCACAAGACGAGCGCTCCCTTTTACAATGAAATCGCATAATGATGAAGTTTTTGCGATCGCAAAAATGATCGAAAAATGATGTTTCCTATGGGGGAATTTTGCTTTGCGATGATCGGTTCCCTGCTTCGGGAACCAATTCTCGTAAAACGATGGTTTTCCTACAGCTGATCGGCGGTTTCAAAATGGCCCACCCACTGTTTTCTGGGACGGATTCCTCGCTGTGCGGGCAGCAAAAATGGCCGCGCTATGGAAGATCTTCGCTGGACGGTGAGTTTCAAGCCCATAAGAATGCATTAATCGGGTTTTAATGCGTTTCTATGGGCTTTTTAATTTCACTTTACAATGTTTTCGTTCTCCAGCGATTTCGATGTGAACGAATTAACATCGTAATGCGAGGCACCACTGTATTGCCTTCCACATTTGACTGCTTAAGCAACAACACGGTTGATGGATTTGATATGGGAGCTCTTTCTAGATCTCAGTCTTTTGTCTTAAAATGTCAAGATGTACCTTCCAGAACTGGTATTCTTTGTTTACCACCATTATTGATCTGAAAATACTATTCCCAGAACTCCTTAAGAACACAGACAATATATTATGGCTGCCATTTTCTTCAAATGACTGATAGAAACAGTCATTTAGAAGTGCTTAGGGAGATCAGAAATACAAAAGTGAGAAGCATAACTACAAGTACAACACTTTTTACACTATACCTACAACTTCAATTAACAAGAGTACTGCTTTATTTTCAGTATCCACACTTCACAATTAGAATAAATCAGGTTAACTCTACTTCTAGATAGTTCAGAGACTTAGCTGATGGTTCCAGGGCAGAAGTCGTCAACCCCTGGTCTGCGACCCGATGCTGGTCTGTGGCCTGAGCCGGGCCGTGTAGACAGACTTCCTGCCCTCCCCTGCACACCTTCCCCTCTCCACAGCTGCTCTGTGCACGTGCCAGCGCCAGCGTGACCACTCCCCCACCCCTTCACACATGCGCCCAAGTGCAAAGGGGTGGGGGGGTGCTCACACCGGCACTGGCAGGCATACGCTCCCCCACCATTTTGCGCATGCGCCTGAGAGTGCGCGTGCACCTGTACACACCTGCGGGGGACACCCTGCCTTCTTCGAAGGCTGAGCCAGTCTGCAGTCCCAAAAATTTGGGGACCACTGTTCTAGGGCATTCATTTTGGTGTGGAAATAGGTAAATATACATAGTATAATAACAAAAGCACTGGGGGAGTGCTCACACCGGCACTGGCAGGCATGCACTCCCCCACCATTTTGCGCATGCACCTGAGAGTGTGCGTGCACCCGTACACACCTGCGGGGGGCACCCTGCCTTCTTCAAAGGCTGAGCCAGTCTGCGGTCCCAAAAATTTGGGGACCGCTGTTCTAGGGCATTCATTTTGGTGTGCAAATAGTATAATAACAAAAGCAAAAGAATTTCAAGTAGCAAATGATTATGCATAAGAATCATTTTCTTTGTACAAGAGATAGCATATGAGCATTATACTCCTAGTCTCCTCAATTAGTTAAAAATTAGTAGGAGAACTAAGGAAGCAGATTTAAAAGAAGATGTAAAGGTGCTGAAGATACTGGAACTATACCAGTGCATGGTAAAGATAGACACAGGGTTAATCATGAAAAAAAGAAAATATATCTTACCATAAGTTGCAAATGTTCTTCTCTGTTGTTCAAACATGAAATCATTAATATGGGCTGGCTCTGTATATCCAGAAAGCATATTCCTAGGTGCAGCCATCTGCTGAGTCCTAAATGGATTCACTGGTCCAAACTGCATTTACAAATAATATATTAAGTACCAATATCTCCGCTGGACTATCGCCATAAGCAAGCCGCATGTGATACTTCACTTACATAAATAAACAAATCTATTATATTTTTTGCCTGTCTTATTTTCAATGTGTATAGAGCATCATGCATGGTTCCCCATCCCATTTTATCTAATGAAACAGGTTAGGTCTACCCCTCCAGTTGTTGTTGAATGAGTGTTGTCATCACTGCTGGGCACTGTTTTTCCAAGGACTGAAGGGAGGTGGGCATCTTAAAGATCCAGAGATTGCTTACTTCTGAATCACATGACTTTTCTAGTCTAGAAACTGCTTCATGTTGCTGTGTTGTGCACATTTTCATCACTGCTGGGCACTGTTTTTCCAAGGGACTGAAGGGAGGTGGGCATCTTGAAGATCCAGAGATTGCTTACTCCTGAATCACATGACTTTTCTAGCCTAGAAACTGCTTCATGTTGCTGCGTTGTGCACATTTACAGAGACTTCCTTAGATTTACAACAGTGTTTGAATTAAGATCACATACAGGCCCACTTGAACATATGAATTGAAAAACTCAAGTTTGCAATAGGTTCCCCTACACTGAAGTGGCATGTAATTATTTTCTGAGTAATCCGGACTGGGAAGGAAATTCCCTTCACAGTCAGAAATAAACCTGGCTTGGTGCTGACAAAGCATTCTATGTTCTTTAATGTGGTCACGAGATGGTAAAGTTCCACAATGCCCAGAAATCATCGTCTTAAAACTGCAGAGCTAGAAGGAATTGTATGGATCATTGAGTGCAACACACCCAACAGGGGTGTCAAAAGAGGCATAGTGGGAATCGAACTCTCAACCCCTGCCTCCACAGCCAATCGCCTAAACCACTGAGCTATCCAGCAATGCCCACTTCTTCCTTCTATATTAATTAATCTGGTCATAACTGGGAAGATGTAGGAACCAACAGATGGGAAATGGAAGTGCTATGGCTCCTATGACGATCACCCCCATCAGGATGGCAACAGTGATTTTCATTAAAGACTTCCTCCTCCCATTCCACAACCTTCAAGGGTTCCTGATGGTGAAAAGGAATCCCACATGGGCCATGTGTGCCTTGAGACAAGAGTAGGAAATATTTGATTTTTAAAAAAAATCATCCCAGATGATGATATCATTAGCCTTATGTGACAGAACTTACACAAAGAGAATTTCAGCCACATTGATTAGCACTAAAAAGGGAAGCTGCAAGATGTATGACTGAAAAGGAGACTGAAGGCCTGGCTACATAAACTTACTTTTCTTATCCACACTGGAGGATTGGGAAATACAGTGGGCTAGAGTCTGACTTGCTCACGATCCAAAAGATGATCATACTGAAAGATGTGAGAAGGAGAATTTTTTCCTACCAATTTGTATTTTACTCTGCATCTTTCGCATGGCCTCAATTTGCCAGACCAGAATTCTGGGGCAAAAAGGAAGTCACAGAGTGAAGAACAGTAAAAAATAATCTCCTCCCTTTGTACCTTTAGTTCTTAAAGAAATGGGAGTGCCTGACCACCCTTATCTATCTCCTGAGAAACCTATATGTGGGACAGGAAGCAACAGTTAGAACTGGATATGGAACAACTAATTGGTTCAAAATTGGGAAAGGAGTATGACAGGGCTGCATATTGTCCCCCTGCTTATTTAACTTATATGCAGAAGACATCATACGAAAGGCCGGACTGGATGAATGCCAGGCCGGAATTAAGTTTGCTGGAAGAAATATCAGCAACCTCAGATATGCAAATGATACCACTCTGATGGCAGAAAGTGAGGAGGAATTAAAGAACCTCTTAATGAGGGTGAAAGAGGAGAGCACCAAAAATGGTCTGAAGCTCAACATCAAAAAACTAAGATCATGGCCACTGGCCCCATCACCATCTGGCAAATCGAAAGGGAATTTTTAGAGGCAGTGATAGATTTTACTTTATTGGGATCCATGATCACCGCAGATGGCGATAGCAGCCACGAAATTAAAAGACGCCTGCTTCTTGGGAGGAAAGC